GCTTTTGCTGGTTTACTTAGAAAGAGGGTCATATAAATCACGGTTACTTGACTGTGCAGGGAAATGAGTACTTTGTTCATAATATTAGAGTATTAACAAACAGTAAAAGAGGAAAAAATATCATCTTAGGATACCAAAAAAAGTAATTAGTTGCAAATTTCGAAAGATTAATCTGAAGCTAAAAGAGTGCAATGTGCTGTAGCTGTCATTTACGCTGTCTGTGCAGCTCTCGATAACGTTCCCATTTTCTGGGATATTTACCACCTTGCTCCTGCCTTATAAAGTGGATGCATAGAGTGGGACCAGAAGTCATGCTCACTGTATGTGACTTGGACACACCTGGCTACCGTGAATTGGCCCAGAGGTATCCACCCAAACAAAACTGAGTCAATTCGAATTTCCCTCTTGGAATCATAACCAAGAGGCAGCTGAGCTTCTTTGTGTAGCTGGAAGTAGAATTGCAAGCAATCTCAGGGAACGTGGGGCAGCCATGTAACCATGCAGAAAGAAAGAGAGAAGCAGAGAAGAGCCTTCTGCAGAAAAGAGACACAGAGACAGATAAATACAAATATGAATGAACACATATCAGTGGGAGCTTCTAGTTCCTGAGTTCTGACTACTTGGTCCTTATCTTTAGGTTTTATGGAATCTGCAGTTATCATATTGTCCCCATGTATGTTTCTTCTAGTTCAAGTTGTTTTCTGATACATATACCTCAAAAAGAATGAGCACTTCATCAATTCCTTCCTGTCTCTTTCGACTTGCTTGTCACACTGCCCATAGTCGAAGGAAAGACATGGCTCAATTCTCCTAAGCTGGGTTCCTTGCCATGTACAACAGGACTTTTCTCTACCCTTCCCCAGCAGGCAGATCCCCCTTTTTAATTCTTATCATGCTCATTTTCACAGACTCGGATAACTCAGAGCTGATGTGGGTTACAGGACGACAATCAGTTCAGCTGTTAAACACTGATAAATAGTTATATTTAATTATAATATCATGACGAATTTATTATTTTAAAAGTGTATTATCTTAATTAAAATCAGATAAAGGCAAGCAGAGAGCCATAGATAGGGTCTATCTTTCTTCCAGTTGAGAAACAGATGAAAAGATAGCTTTGTGTACGTGAGATTAGGCAGTGGTCTATTCTATTAATTTGATGGCATTCAGAGATATTCTTAGATGTTTCTATGTGATACCAGACATATAGCCCCTTTGGTAAAAACATCTGGCCAGCTTTACTCAGGAATTCAGTTCAGCATCTGAATATCTGGCATTGCACAGATAAAGAACTCAAGTTTTCCTTTCTTTGAAAAATAAAACTTATTCTTGATTTTCTTAATTAGATGTTTTTCAATTGTTAAAAGGGGATTTACTTCACGTTGACAAATTAAGTCTCTATTATGAAATAAGTCTGATTGGCTGGTGTTCAACTAAAGTGTCGCTCCGCACCAAAAATAGCAATGCAAATATCCCAGATCATCTTGAACAAGTCAAATAGTTCTATCTGTGTTGGATAGTGATATAAACACAACAATGATGCTGGAGGTGAATTTTTTAGAAGCCCCAAACCAGAAACAGGGAGGAATCATCTGCTATGGGATTAAAAATAAGAAAGTCATTATGCACTGACAATGTAACACATTTCTCTCTTACCTGGTTGACACTGATTACACCTTCTTCCTTGACGATTGGGCAAACATAGGCACTGGCCACTGATTGGGTCACAAATGGTCCCAGGAAATGTCCCCAAGGAGTCACACTCACACATCTGGCAGCCTTGAAAATTGCCAGTGGTCAAATTGTACCTGTGAGGTTCACACTGATTACAGTGAAGACCTGCTACCCCTAATTTGCAAGGACATTGTCCTGTCGATTTGTCACATAGCAAAGAGCCATCTACTGTCCCAGTCTTATCACAGTTACAAGGCAGACAGAGGAAAGAATCATTTTGCTGTAAGTAGAAGTAGCCCTCCAAACATTCACTGCACCGTCTCCCTCCAACGTTGGGCTTACAGATGCACTGCCCTGTCTCAGCATTACAGACCGTCCCAGAGAGGGACCCAGCTGTGTCACAGTCACAGGCCTTACAACCAGTGATGTCCAGCCCATAAAAGGCTTCTCTGCAGGTGTCACACTGAAGTCCTTTGGCTTCTTTTTTGCATTCACACTGCCCAGAAAGAGGATTGCAGAACTTGTTTACAGAGCCATGGAGGTTACACTGGCAGGGCTCACATCCATCTTCATTAAAACTTCGGAGAAATTTAAATCCAAAATTGCAATGATCACATCTAAGCCCTAAAGATAAAATATGTTTTAAAAGGTGAGGATGTGAGAATGATCCCGTTCAAGATAACTGAAGAACAAACAACACTACTGCAGACATTTAATGCAGACACAGAAAATTGTGTGTTTTTCTCACAAGCAACATCACAGAGGGCTAAATGTACATTCAAAATATGATGGCAGT